GGTTTTTTTTTTTTTTTTTTTTTTTTTTATTAATTTTCCATTACATACCTGCATTTCGTCGGCTTCCTTTTGCACGCTAGCGGGAGACTTGCATCGTAACCAGGCCAAAGCTTTGATCGCCTCTTCTCTCTTGCCGATCTTCAGCAAATGGTACGGCGATTCGGGCATCATGAAGAAACAAGCGACGAATACCACGGGTATAATGCCGCAGAGTATGGCAAACGTCAGATACGACACGAACGGTCCGATGCAGTACGCATAAAGGAGACCGAAGCTGACGAACAGTTGCAAGAAGGATCCCAGAGCTCCTCTGACGGACGTCTACGTAATTGCAAACAGGATGGAATATCGATTAGACGCGTTGTAACGAAGCACTCGAATTGGAACGAGTGGATGCGACGTTTACCTCGGCGATTTCGCCGCAGTACATAGGAACGACCGTGAAAGCGAACGACAAGGCGAAGCCGAGAACTATTCGTGCCGCGTACAGTTGATACACGACGCCAGCCGTTGCCACTAGGATCCAACCGGTCAGAAATGGTATCGTACTGAGTAGCAGCGTCATCTTCCTACCGCATCTGCGAACCGATTAGATCGGATTAGACGAACCGTCTTGCGTTTACGTATTTACAACGGTGTGCGAATTTCGAGCGTTAAGCGTCTATACGCGCGATAATTCTGGCGAAAGACGTTCGAAGCTCGATCAGCCGCGTGGTCAAGGCTTCGAGTCGAAAGCCTTGGCCAAGTTTGACCACTCTTTAGAACGTGCTAGGTCTATCAACCAGTAAACGCGATAACAGATAATAATACGATTGTTCCGTAGAAATCGCGATGTACCTTTCCGCTAAATATCCAGCTGCGAAACTGCCGATCACAGCACCCACGGAGACCAACGAGCCGATCCAAGAGTTTTCATCCGGGGTTATCTTTCTGCCGAGAGGATTGTCGTCCACGCTATACTGTAGCCTAGGTAATATCGGACTGGTCCATCCTAACAAAGCACCGGCTGCAACGCAGCACAAATTTGCTGAAATCATAACGTTCGTTGCTATTAATCTCTTCGTCCGTCTGGTGCAACGGCATCTGAACGACACGACACGACATATTCGAAAATTAACGAGGGTAAACGATAACGAACCATCTCCTTCAAGTATATATTTTTCGCGTGCGCGATAGTCACGGTTAAGTTACGTCTGCTGGCAGAACGACCGCTGGTCACGTTTGTCTCTCGCGATTCTCGATTCTCGTCGTGATCCGTGCGCATAATCGGTGTGCGACATCGGAGACGAGAACGACCAATGTTCCGAATAGATTTACGCGAGAGAGAAAGGGACGGAGATTAGACGATGCGAACGCCAGGCACGTGGAACAATTTGCCAACGACGCCATCGATAACGCGTTCAAAAAATATACGAACAACGGCTCGCACGTCCGATAAACTCCGACCGGAGAATGTTTTCGTGCCCGCCCAAATCGAATTCTTTACGAAATCACTTTTTCGTCTTTCTACGGAGTCAACGATCCTTCCGAGTCGTCCACTTAGAATCGCGCTGTCGCTTTTACTCTCGTCTCTTCGCTTCTTCGCTCTCTTCTAATCGCTCGTTAAAAGTCTCCTACGAAACGAGAAGCAAACAAATGATCGCGCTGTACTCTCTGTCAACGCGCGAGACGAGAGGAGAGCGGTTAAATCGATACGCGATAGCAAGGTGATTTTAACGCCGGATCCATCTACTACGTTAATTATCGTTCGTACTATCGCTTTCGATTATCTGGTCGTCTTCGACGCTTTCTGTGTCTGCCCCCCCCCCCCCCCCCCCCCCCCCCCCCCCCCCCCCGCC